GCGGCGAAGTGATGGGATGGGATGAGAGCGCGCGAGCGGGCAGGAGCGACGCTTGGTCTGTGTGTGAGAGTGCGTACGAAGTACTCCGTGGTGGTGCACAGTTGGAAGGCGCTACTGGCAGCTGTGGGGCGACAGAACCACTGGAATGGGAAAGTCGTTGGAGGGGCTCGAGGGGGAAGGAGCGACGAGCAACTTGGGGATGTACCTCTCGGAGACGCGATGACCAGCAACGGAGGGGTTCAATATTTGAGAGTAAACAAGAAGTTCGAGGAAAGTAAACAGAATGGTAAACAAGAAGCCCGGCAACTAGAGGAAAAAACAAGTATTGGAGAGATCCGATTCGTATTAACCAGGCCGGCTGTTGTTGAAGATGAAATCGGGGGGAAGAGACGCGTTCTGCGTTGGTAGATCGGTAGCTTCCGGAGTACCTCCGAGTCGGTGCTGTCTCTGCTCCGTCTCCCTGCCTTCGCTGGTTGATGGATGGTGGTGAAGCCCGGCGGTGGTGCTATTGGATGCGGAGAGGACTAATGACAAACTGTCGTATTCAATACAACAGCCCTCGAATGCCGGCGATGATGCAGGTTGATTTGGAAATAAAGAAAAAGGAGAATCACGTCCGAGCAGATCAAGACTCAAGATTCAAGACTCAAGAGGGAGGAGGACACAGGGATGAAATATAGTGCTGCTAGAGGCGCCGAGATGAGGGATGAGATCGATATATTTACTTTTGCAAGCCCAAATCCCAAGACCCAAGACCCAAAAGTAAGATTGAGACCACTCATCAAGACCATGACCAAGACCACGGCCCAAATCAAGGTACAAAGTATCCGTACACGCGCAACGCTGGGCCGGGTTACGGACGGGAGCACGATGCAGGATTGGATCCGCCGGCCCTTGACGGCGGCGACGAACAAGAACAAGAACGACAACAACCGAGCCGCGAACCATTGTGTAATAGGCCGACCTTCATTTGGGAGTGTCTCACGAAGCCCGTTGACTGGCCAGAACAGCTCGGTTCAAAACTTCAGGGCCCCTCCCACCTCGCAACCCAGTACCGCTGCACACCAGAAGCGATCCCATTTCAGCCAGTGGTTGTAGAAACACCAAGACACGATCCCACAAGCAAGGGCCCATGTCTCCCAAAACAAGCAGCAGCAGCGTTTCTTGTCCACCCAGAGCCCCAGGCGACAGACTGCAGCAAAACATGCGCACGTACGAAGGCCAGCGGCGACTCGCCAGTAAGATTAAGGTATCTGGAGGAAGGCACTCCGTACGGATGGTTAGGTACCTTGGTGCTTGCTCATTCCTGTTCACTTGAGAGGTACACTTCCAGGTACCTTGTTATCGAGGAAAGTGCACCTCGTACGCGGGAGAAGAAGGAAAGGGAGGCACAGAAGCAGACCCACCCCCAGCCATTCGCTGCTTCTCCATCTGTCAGTCAAGTGAGCTGGCGCCTGCACCTTACGTTGCTTGGACATCCTCATTGGCTGCTATGAGGCGGAAGGAGCAAGTACGATACGGATACGTATCCATGCCTTCATCTGGAGTCGCCCTCCCTTGCCTCTTGCCTCTTGTTGCAGCCCTTGCCTGACGCCTGACGCTGGTGGTGGGAGCCAGAGATGAAATGTGACTGGATCAAATGAACGAATCCTCAGCCGCCAGCTCACCACCAAAAAAGAATCAACCACGAATACGCATACGGGAGTAGTGGCATACCTACTACCTTGCAGCAAAGCACAGCAGAACAGACTCAGGCACGCGAGCCAAGGTACCTCCAACGCACGTCAGCTTGCTTTCCGCTGTCACTAATATGGACTGCTGCAGCTAGGTCTACGCATACTGTCGTATACCTACCCCAAAAGACCTGAAAACGACACAATCGATGCGCGCGGTTCATTGGTGGTCGCGTCCTACCTCGAGTACGCCGATGAAACAAGCGATGGGCAGCTTTCTCCAGCCCTCTCTACCAATCGATTCACGAACATGGCCAAGAAACAAGACCCTCCGGAGAACTCGAACTCGCTTCCGTCTGGAGGACTAACGACCCTTCAACTCGCCCACCTCGAACTACTGGGCGTCTATGTGTAATCTCCGCAATTCTTTATTTTCGGCTCCCTCTCTGAAACAGCGTATCGACCGGCCTTGCCTCGCCTTACCTGAACGAGACATGATGTCGACCACGTCTATCGAGTGTTAGCATGCCGCGCCGCGCACTTCCCGACCGATGAGAACCGGCCCGCGTCGTGACCGATCTTTCTTGACCTGGCGCCGATTCGCCGCCGCCGCCGCCCTGCTTCTCGCCCTCTGCTTAGAACTTTAGGCTCTGGAAACAAGTTGACCTTACGCCTCCGTGACTCATCTCCTGTGCCCTACCGCTCTGCTGTGTCACGGTTTACCGCTGTTGGTCTGTTGGCCAGGCTTGGCTATGCTGCTCTGATTTGGAGACGCCCCTGCTACTCGCCTGCAATAATGATCGCCTTTGCCAACCTTATCACTGCACCAGAAGGGATCAACACACGTACGCCCTTCTTGAACCTTGAATCTCTTGCTGTACTCCGTACACTCAATGGTTTACCCGTGGGTGGAAAGTATCATCAAACAAAGCCACAGCCAGCTACTGTTCTGCAACCAGTGCTGCTTTGGTGTGCATTACGGCCTACATGATGCCGCCCATCTTCAAGAAAGTCCACATGGACAACGATGAACGCCTCCAGCTTTGGCATCCACAGAGTTGCTCCAAAGGCCAACGCCCGCGCTGGCAAAAGCCTGAACAGTCTGAACAAAGTGAGACCACGCCCGCAGGTTGCGGCACACCATAGCCAATCCCGCCTGGGCGATTCCTTGGTTTCGAAATCATCACCAATGTTGTTTCCCATTTCGCATCAACAGCTCAACAGCAAAAGAAGGCCGCAACGGGTCAAGCGTCTGGTGCTGCTCATGAAACGACACACATACACAGCGCCCTCTTTTTCGGCCTCTGAGACATTTCCGAATGGTTTTGCGTCCTGCCACCAGCTTAACCGTCAGCTAGCGGAACATGAGGGCTGTCAGCCAACCACGGTCAATCGTTTTACACTCTAGCGGCCTGTTGGCATACTCAGCAGTGGCTCCCTGTTAACTTCAAAGACTTAGGCTACCCCCAGCCCAGTCCAGCCAGGAAATGTCTTCCAACCCCACGAATCTGAGAACCTCACGTTTCTAGCTGGGGGGTTTGCTCCTTTGTCGGGCCTTCGGGGTATCAGCAACACACTGGATTTCCTGGCGCACCTTGGCTTGCCTGAAAGGGAAGAAGGAGCCGTTAATCGTGTGGCTTCACCTACTCGCCTCCCACTGAAATCCCAAACAGACTTTTCGAGTACACGGAGTTCCTCCACAAGGCGGGAATCTCATCCAATCCTCGATCAAGCACAAAGCCCTCGCCGCAATCCTAGCCCCGAGCTCAACAGTCAGTTAAACGTCCAGGCCAATCAACCCTTGCCGTCTATCAATCACAGCCAAACGTCGAGATATGGGCCTCATGCCTTTCCCATAACCGGTTACCCTGCCCTACGCTGGAGATGATCTCCGGCAACACGCAGGACACGGACTCTGTCTCAATGCCGCCAACAGCCTACAGGCGCAATCCTACCACCCGCCAAAAAGTCAAAAGTTTCGGGTTCGCATGACTGATCGCTCCCTTCCCGCAATTGACAAGAGGGTGTAGCCATGTTGTGGCTCAGAACGAGCTCGTGTTCGACTTCACTGGAGGGAAATGCCCCCTGCTGGCGATATACCCACGCACTAATCGCTACTCCCGTCCCCTGAAGTAGATCGTTCCCCACGTTACGGTTTCATGTGTATGCCTTTTCATTCCCAATCGAATGCACTCCCCTCCGGCTTTACGTGTCCAAGTCGCGTTTGGGATCACTGCAACGGATCCCCTATCTTCTCCATTTGATTCTGGCTTCCTCGGGTCAGTGGGCCGACGCCGAGACGCAGGGTGAGAGTCGAGAATGCGGAGGGTGAGAAGCTGACAGCCTAGCGCAAGCAAGCACTCACATTCACACATTATCGTCCAAAGGCCCCCAACAAAGTGTGGTCCTGCTGGCTCCATCGTGAGCCAACGACTTGCATGCAGAGTCTCGTGCGAATAAGCCCGGGCCCCTCGTTGCAGAGACAAGGACAGAGACCGGATGGCAGCTGACAAGCGGCCACAAGCACCGTCGACAACCACATGCTCGAGCCCTACGGTCGGCGTCGATAGCTTCGCGCCAAGCGTCTGTTCGAAATGGCCTCCTGCGACGGTGGCTTCGCCATGACCCGCTGGCCACCGAACGACTTGCCAAATGTGTCAGGCGTCTTGTTCGGGCCCAATTTACATTGCTTTCCCCCTCATCGTAGCCCATATCAAGACACCCAGCCGCTTACTAGTACTCGATCCCTACGTTACCTATTGCGGCGTTATCTGCTTAACTGACGGGTACTATGATGCCCCTCTTATCTCGGGCAGGAGGGTGCTAACGACAGCCACCATGCATCAAGGCGCTGAGTGCTTGAAAGATGGTATGCTTGAAATCCTGCAACAGCCTAACCTCTATTGCAGCCCACCTGGAGTTTCCCCTGAAAGGCGCGACAGATCTGCACCCTCTTTTGCTTGTAACGCAGCGGGGCGGACATACCACAGCTTTCGAGTCTAGCCCTGGGGAAGTGGTTGCGCAAGCGTGCGAGTACCTCATCGGCTGTCCAACTAAACCCCATTTTCAGGGGGTCGGTCGATGGCAGAGGAATCGATTCGACTGTATCTGGCACCGGAAGGTTGATGCAGTAATGCAACCAGGTACCCTGCTTACAAGCATCACAAGCAACGCAGAGGGAAGTTGGAAGAGGGGGAGCAGAATCAACCCATCTTCACCGCCCGGATATGCTCCTTCGCTGTGGCATCACCAATTCATTCGGTCGAGTTGGTCCACGTCGCATGCTGAGCCAACGCAGAGACTCAACCTCGTCCAGCCATTGCAGAAATGCAGTGTCCGCCGGCCGTCCGTCCGTCTAGACCGTCTCGGCACCCGACCGAATTCCTCACCGCCTCCCTTCTCCCTCCTCCCAACGCCCCCGGAGCTCCATCTCCCACCTCCTCAAACCCGGGGCCCACATGCACCGGAAGGCCTTGCCGCTTCGGTCCTGGTGTGTCGGAGACCACTCCGGTACAATGCCACGCGAGAGCCGTGATTGGCGGGGTGGCCTTGGAACGGAACACCAGCACTGTAGTACGAGTTCGCCAATCGCGCCTCAAGGCCCAGGCCACACAAGGTGGCTATGTCCCGAGACAGATTGTGGCTGAAGTTCCGAACTTGCCCACGACCAGCTGCTCGGGAGGCCTGCCTATTGACGAAAATCGATTATTTTCCAGCCTGTTGGGCCGAATGCGACAACGTCTTCGGCCACAGCGTCGTGATCCGGTGCGGCTCAGACAAAGTGCATCAAAAAAGACACCTGTTCGCCTGACACAACAAACATCGGCAGTCTCCGCCACACGGAGATGTTCGTGATGCGAATTCATGCGCCCACTGAAGCGATGAACCACTTATGGTGTCTTGTCCCCTGCACCGTTCGGCTTGTGCCAGCTGATGGGAGGCATGCCCATGCGTGGGAACGGAGTATGGACTTGGGACCGTGGCATGGGGTGATGGAAGCCAGGCATTCGCTGAATCTGTACCCCGCATAGGGCGGTCTCTCTCCCATTTTGAGCCACAGTTGCGGCATGCCTTTCAACGCATCAACGTTCACGCCCCCCCTTGGGACCCTTTCCCCTGTCACGCTGGGATGATCGCGCGTTCCCATTCGTTCAGCAGGGGATTCCAAGGTGTGGTGCGTGCGCTGCTCTCAATCTGTCATCCCATCCATCGCTGATCGCCGGCCTCGGCTCTTTAGTCAGTTGATCGACGACTCTTCCGATCACCCTCTTCAGGGATTTAGCTGCCCTGCCGTGCCTGCGTCGGGCCCCCTTGCTCCTGTTGGCTACAGGCCTGGCCTGCTGCGCTCTCTTCCTCGCCAGGTCGCCCCTCGCTACTCGCAGTCGCAGTCGCAGCGCCAGAGGACGCGACAGCGACGGCGAACATACTACGGTACCAGCCACACTTGGGGCCTCCCCTCCCCGCGGCGATTATTCATTCTCCCCTCCCGTCCCACCCGAGCCGCCACTTCCCGGATCCGAACATGGCTCTGGTGGTTAGTCATTCGTGTCCTTCTTTGGTGGCTTGGAAGGCCATGTTGACCCGGCCAGCGTCACACTGCAAATTGTCTCCGCCGCAGAAAAAGGAAGAAGAATAATCGGGACTTTGACAACGCTATGGCGGTGCAGGCAAGCCAATGTCACTCTTATCCAAGAACCCATGCCCATAGCATTGGAAGGGAAAACGCAGGCACGATGCCCGCCAAGCCACCCTTCGTACGAAATGTCACTCCGCCGAGACTCAACAGAACGAACACTGCAAGCTTTCTTCGAGGACTCTGTAAGGAGCTTCTCCTGTGTAATCCAGTGGTCATCTACCAGCGGCGTCCGCTTACCGGGGCGTGGCGCCGTCCGGTCGCCCCAATCCTTTGATGTCTCGGTCGCGGCGTGGAAGCGGGAAATTTCTGCCGCACCACGATGAACAATACGTAAAACCTACGTCGACTCGAAAACGCCAACCATGCGGTGTCTTGCGCGACGCCTCGTCGGCACGTCGCCGAGTGACCTTTCCTCATGTGGACGGCAATTCAAGCTCAACGCCGGCCCACGCAAGGAACGCCAGGAAGAAGAACAAGAAAGCCAACATTGTACCACCAAAACTGAGGCTTGTCTTTTCTTGCTCTCCTGTGAGAATGATGCTGTTCACTGGCACCACAGCGGCTCTCCCTCTACATTGACACCCCCATAACCATCGGACTACGCTTCCTGCTGTCGGACGCATAGGTCTGAAAGGATTGCTGTTCGAGGTTTGAACAGATGCAATTCATGGCTTTGGTGCCGGGCGCCAAAAGACTGCAGGCGGCTTATCCTCTTCTTAGCTCAATTCCTTAATTTTCAAACGCCAGCTGTAAAAGACGCCCGCTCGTGGGAGCCAATGACGGCAGCCAAACCAAGATGGTCTCTACACGACAAGCAAAAGAGTAAGACAGGCGACGAACCGCTTGCCGTCGCCTCGAATCAGCCTCCAACCGCCGCGTTTCAGGAAGCGCGTCCTCGTCCTCTGCGCCTCAATTCTCGTTCCATCGCTGAGCTGCAGGACCTTGACTAGCGCCCGCGCATCAGTCATCCGAACATGGCTCTTCGTTCCTCCCATGTCTCCCGGGAGGCTCTCGCCCTCCCCCTCCCCCACAAGCGCCCGTCGACGTCTCATTGGCCTGCCCGGACGGCATGCCTCGAATAGACGCCGCACAGACTTTGGCTGATGGAAATAGCCACGGCAGTCTGCGTAGCCGCTGCCATCCTCATGCATCCACTCGCAAGGCCATAGGCCCCGCAGCCGCAGTCACCCTACCAGGTACCTTACCGACCCCAGAATCCTACTGCAAGGTTATCCGCTAGCTGAGGTAAGGTAACAGTCAAGGACGACAACAACAACAATTCCCCGAAAGCAGCACACCTTGTTCAACTCTATTACATACCCGCTTTAGGAACTCGAGTTTTGCCCACTAACGCCTCGCAGAGTCCTCTTCGTCATTCACTTCCTGGACCCGACAGACTGGATGAAGGCGTTCACAGCTGTTTGCGCGGACCGAGACAAGATCTAGCCCTGGTGTTCACCGTCGGGGTGATGGCCTTCAGCAGAAACAGCACACATCATCTTCGTCGGGGTCCACTATGCTAGACATCCCCGCTGGTCAACAAAAGAGCTTTCTATCCCATTTCTTATCCACCAACGAACTTCGACCCGCATCCGGCGAGACATGTTCAGCCAGCGCACATGGCAGCCTCCTGCTTCATCGACAACCAGAAACCTAACGGGCACAGCCTCCACAAAGTGCCTCGATCCTCCCCATCGCAGGATGCCAGAGACACACTTCCCGCCGGTTTCCATCAGCTCTCTGTCCGCCAAAGGTGTAGTGCCTCCAGTCTTGCTGCCACAAGCTTCAGGTCCCCGAGACACGCACCACGTCCTTGGGACCGATATCTGTCTGTTTGCGTTTTGCTTCTCGTTCGAGTTTGCACGCCCTCCATGTGGGAAATCGAGTAGCCTCAAGCCCCGCGGCACCCTGGACTCGCCCCGCGCGCACCGCGTACTCTTCTCTCGTTCCCAGGTCCCCGGTCGAAAGCCTCCCGTTTGCGGCATCGCCGGTGACGTGCGGAAAACTTCTTCGTCGCCTTCTAGCGTCTTTCTACTGGCCGCACCGTCACTTTTCTCAGGCACACGTACGCTCGCAGCCTTTACTTTTCCCCTCAAGTCCGGTGCGGGAAACAAATTGAAGGCCCCAGGGCCAGAAACGGCCCCATCCACACAAACGCTCCACGCGATTTCGTAAAGGTACGCCCAAGAGTCTGCTACACGACTTCCGATTAGTGCTCAAAATGCATTGATACGTCGACTCTGTTCATCTATTGCCCTTTTGAACGCAAGTCTTGGCTGCCCGGGCAAGCAGAACACCAGGCACAGAAACCAGAGCAGACGCCCGTCGGGAAGCCTCTCACTTCGTCGTGGTGATCTTTTTCGTGGAACCACAAGCTCATCGGGGGGACGAGTAGCAGAGTGTCTCTCATCTTGTCCCCTCTAGGTATGGTCACTGGAGCTTCGAAAAACTCTCTTCCGCTAGACTTTTCACGAAATCGTTTACGGAGGTCTCACCCATCGGGGCTGTGCTGGAACACTTTCCAGATTCCCGGGTTTTTGCCTCCCTCCAAAGCCTATCCTCAATGATCCCCCGTTTAAACCTGTTTCTTGGGATCATCATAGTTTCGCACGTAAGAAACAGTCGCCGGGCCTGTCTTACCACTTTGAATAAGATTTCCGGGTACGAAATCCGGGGATTGGGTATGAGTTTAAGCAGCAAGCAGCAGCTGAACCGCAAGCCCGGGAATCGAGATAAAGCTGGGAACGTTGGTTCCGCTTCGTTCTGGTCGTCGGTGGGTAGTGTTTGGCCAGGTCTGGTTTGGTCTGAGGTTGGCGATGTTTCGTCGTTGCCCCTCGTCGTAGAATGACGTGTGACGGTGTGTGATGTGGCACACTCACTCACTCGCGTACTGACTGCAGTCTCCTTCTATCGTTTAGGTACTCCTCTTCGGCGTCGTCACCAGAGCTTACGTAGAGGAAGAGACACTGACTACCGCAGTCCTTTCTCCTTGCGGATTTGACGTATTAACTCCGGACCCTCTACCATGGTTTGTCCCCCTTCGAGACTTCTTCTACTGCCGACTGGTAACCTACAAAAGTTCCCATGACGGATGTAAAGCCTCTTCTAGCCTATCTGGTGCTCTACTTGCTTACGCAGCTGACTGTGCAAAGGGATCAACCGTCTGAACCGATCTACCCGTTGTTTGTTTTGTTTACGTTTTGTTCAGCACCAGACCCGTAAGAGATAGACCCCTGTTTTTTCCCCTCCGTCTATACCCATTCATTTTTACCTTTACACATTTGAGAGGGGAACAATCGCCGGAAATGGTATGGAGTTGTTGACTTTACGTGATGGCGGCAGATGAGGAGAGGTGTAGTCAGGTAAACACGGACACGGATTCTTTTCACCCGTTTTACCGCGGTTCCTGGTTTTTTGTGGTGGGTGGTTTTACCAGAGCGGCTAGACTAGATACGTTCAAAGGCGTTCGTTCGCCTTTTCTATCCCGCGCGAAGGTCTCGGTCCGTAGGGACTTGCGTCGTTTCGAGCCTTGATCGTTGTGGTAGCTTTCTCCTCCAAGGGAGGCTGCCTGCGGTACACCTTTCTTGGGCACTCTGGGTTACCCATACACGCCGACTCTTTTGGCGTGGTCACACACACACGATTACACAAATCGAGCTCACCCCGGATACACGGAAAGATGTAGCCCCGGGGCAGCGCGGCGATGGGGGGACAGTCACGACATTTGAGACATTGCTGAATTAGGTAGTGATTGGGTTCTGTTTCTGGGTGAGCTAGCCTCCCGTCTCTGGCCTTGTGAATATGTGTACGGCCAACCAGTCTGCCGTCGCCGCCGCCGCCATCGTCGTCGTTGTTCTCGTTGGCGTGTGGTGCTTGTTCCCGTCTCGCACCTTTCCCGCCTTACGCGTACTTTTCTCTTAGTGAGAAGCTTCTCTCTCGTTGCTTCTCTGCTTTTGACGATGGCTTCGGAATCATGGAAAGGGAGGCAACGTATGCAGGACTTTGTGGTCCCGATTTGTGTTTTTTACGACACCAGTACCCTATCGCTACGACGGGGAGCAAGCTTCCCGTTGATGAGTCTAGTATCTCCATGACGTGAGGCTTACTTTTTGCTTCATTGTGTACATGTTTTTACGCGGAGACCCTTATTCATCGTAGTCCCCGCTTACCTGTCGGCTATTCGTCGATCTAGCATTGTTATCAAATCACTAGGTAGATATCAGATAGAATGTTCACCTCGTCCATCGGTCTAGGAAAGTGCGCGCGTGTGCGATCGGATCCCGTTCGTCCCGTCCGGGGGAGGATCGTCCCGCCGCCGGGAGGGAGGGAGAGCGCTCGGCGGGGTAAGCGGGGAGGAGGGAGGTACGGCAAGGTGCCGATGCCGATGGGAGGAGGGACGATCTTCTTCCTTTCCATTCCCTAGTCGCCGACGCCCTCATTCCTCCCGTCGGCCTTGTGCCTTGTGAAGTCACTGACACGAGTACGTAAGGTAAAGGTCAAGCAGCAGTGGCAGGTGAAGATACCACGCGGTTCTGATGGCCGGTTCAGGAAATATCTTACATTCTCCTTTTTCATCTTGGCAGAAAGGAAAGGGTTGCGCATGTTTACTTGTTTGCCATGCTTCTTGTCATTGCTCTTTCCTATTCGGGAGAATCTTATCTCTTGGATTATCATTGGACTGGAAATTCAATGGCGGAATTCAAATAGGTAGCGGGTAGTGTCTTCCCACATTTTTTTCGTCCCTCCCATTGTTTGTCACCAAGACATGGGCGGACTAAACTCCGGCTTAGGAAACCGTTTCGTCGTGGGGAGGGGGGGGGGGGGGCGAGGGGGTGGGAAATAGGGCAGGAAGGGGGGGATGTTGTCACATTCTAGCTTCTACCTTAGAAGTCTTGAGAATTGATACTATGAGGTTAGGGTAAGAATTCCATTACTAGAGGCGGCGCGGGAAACGGGATGATCGTCCTTCCGTTTGAAGGATTTGTGTAAACCGATAGCTAGCTTCATGATCGTCTCTGGGGCGTTTTCATCACACTCGCTCGGAGCTTGCTCCAGCCAGTCACTGCTATCACGGCTGTGAAAGGGCATGCGCAGACACACACTCACTCGGCATCGGAGTGTAGATCCTCCTCCCCCACCCTTTCTGATATCACTTGGAAAAGGAAGCCGTTTCGTAGGGCGATCCATCTAAGAGGTCGAACCATGAAGAAGGCAGGCGGTATGCGGAAGGGCGTCTATCACCAGAAGAAGAGGCGTGATGAGAGAGAACGGGTGGCACCCCTCCCGCGCCGCTCAGCCTGCCAAATCCTTCGATGC